AATTAGTATAAGAAATGCAGGTGAGTGAGTTGAATAATAAATGGATCTGGAACAACTGGCGTAGCTATTTTGGAAGAAAAAACTATACCATTCCTTCTTTTTTTTTTTTTTTGAGACAGAGTCTCACTTTGTTGCCCAGGTAGAGTAGTGCGTGCTGGCTCAGCCTAGCTCACAGCAACCCAAACTCCTGGGCTCAAGTGATTTCCTCCTGCCTCTGCCTCCCAAGTAGCTGTGACTACAGGCATGCCGCCACCATGCCGGCTAATTTTGGTATGATTATTTTTAGTTGGTCAATTAATTTTTTCTATTTTTTTTAGTAGGAGACGGTCTCGCTCAGGTGGGTTTCGAACTCCTGACCTCGAGCAATCTCCCGCCCTCAGTCCCAGGAGTGCTAGGATTATGTGGAGCCCACCGACGCCCGGCTCATTCACTCTTATACCAAAATATCTTGCGATTAATAATAAGATTAGGCCCGGGCGCGGTGGTCACGCCTGTAACCTAGCTCTCTGGGAGTGTGTGTGTCTGTTGTCGGGAGTCAGGAGTGCGTAGTTCCAGCTCTGAGCAAGGGTAGCCGATTGGTGTCCCTGCTGGTTTCGTTGGCGCGTCGATTAGTAGAAGTGAGAAGACGAAATAAATTGTTTTACCATGATAATTGGGTGTGTTTTGGCTGAGTGAGAGGTTTGGAGAGTGTGAGTTAGATTTATGTTGTGGTTTATATTAGAAAGATGAAATTGTAGCCGGCCATGGCTTGTGTCATGTTGCTTGTTGTAGTCAGTCTTTCGTTGGGGGTGGGGGTGTGGCTTGTTGACAGAAGGATCGGCGACCCAGGAGTTTGAGGTTTGCTGTGAGTGGGCGGAGCTGCGCACGCGACTCACTCTTAGGCCTGGCATATACAAAGGAGACTACTGTCTCAGAGTAATAGATTGAATAAATAGAATAAATAAAGTAGGTGAATAATAAATTTGTAATGTGTATAATAATACATGTGATATGGTTTCCATAATGATTTAGAGAAAAAGGAAAGACTTTGAGTTTATAAAATGTATGGTTTTTTGTCATCTGAAGGATGATCTTTTATCAACATTAGACTCGCGCCACATCAGTGGGATGAGCCACAGGAATGGATTACGTAGTGTTGGATTCACATTACTTGAAGATATGGTTTAATGTTATATATAGCATAGAGTGATCTTTATGTAATATACAAATGAACTGGTTCCTTGTCATATTGTTCCTTTATTTTAGATAATTGTAAAGATTATTTGTATATATTTTCCGTTGTTGTGTTTTTTGTTTGTTCTGTGGCAGGATGACGGAAGTCTTGTTATTAATGTGGTCTCATATAATTAAGTATGCTTATAGGATTGAGATCATGTACGGATGGAGGAGTAGACGAAATGAGCAAAAAGATATGAATGATTCGATGTTGTCAGGGTTCATTGGTATTTAACAATGTGTTTTTCTATTGGGCTATTTATTTTAATATGATTAAATGATATTGTTTTCTGTTATTTTTTTTTTTATGTTCTATTTTTATTTTTTTATTGCTTTTCTTGTGCTGGCTTATGTCTCTGTTTGTACTTGGCTAGTGCACGATTTTGGGTGTTCATGGAGTGCGCTAGTGGGCACTTTGCAGAGGTCTCGGCCTATACTTTGTCTGCTGTCTCTTAAGGCATTCTGGCTCTTCTTGTCAGTACGTGTACGTTCTTGTAAATGATAGTATAGATTTTCAGCTTGCTGCTGATATAGTCAGAGAGAGTATGTCCTATGGTTTCATGAGTCATTGTGCTCAGCCCAGTTAAGCCCAGGAGTTTGAGGTTGCTGTGAGCTAGGCTGATGCCACGGCACTCACTCTAGCCTGGGCAACAAAGTGAGACTCTGTCTCAAAAAAATAAATAAATAAATAAATAAAATGAACATATTTAAAATAGCAAAGAACAAAATAAGTTTCAACAAAATAATCCTCCCAGATTGACCAGCACATTAGTAAGCCATAAGGGCTAAATTGACAGCTGCTACAATCATGATTTAGTTCTAACTCCCTCTCCTGACTGGTACCACTACCACACTAGGCTGGTTGGCTAGAGTTTATGGGAGTTGAGTATGCCACTCTGTTATTAGCTTTTGACAATGGCGCACTGTGTTTCTATTTGAAGTAGAATTTGTGAATAGCTGCACAGTTCAACAGTATTTTTTAATTCTGTCTGCTTAACATCCCATCATGTCAAAGAAGGCCAAGAGAATGCTAAAGGAAGAAGAAAACAGATTTTTTTTTTTTTTTTGAGACAGAGTCTTACTTTGTTGCCCGGGGTAGAGTGCTGTGGCGTCAGCCTAGTTCACAGCAACCTCAAACTCCTGGGCTCAAGTAATCCTTCTGCCTCAGCCTCACGGGTAGCTGGGACTACAGGCATGTGCCACCATGCCCAGCTAGTTTTTTCTATAAATTTTTTAGTTGACCAATTAATTTCTTTCTATTTTTTTAGTAGAGATGGGGTCTCATTCTTGCTCAGGCTGGTTTTGAACTCCTGAGCTTGAGCAATCTGCCTGCCTCGGCCTCCCAGAGTGCTAGGATTACAGGCATGAGCCACCGCACCCGGCCACGAAAACAGTTTTTTTTTTTTTTTTTAATGAGGATTGGGAATTGCAATATTATCTTGTTTCTGCTAAAGATGATTTACTTGCTTTGTGATACTGCAATATCAACATTAAAGAAATTCAATTTTCATCAGCATTATAACACTCAAAAGGACCACAGATATTTTAAATTAGAGGGAGAGTCACAAAAGGTTGTATTGCAGAAATTAAAAGATAAAAGACAAAAGCAAACACAATTCTTTCAAGCAGTAATAAGACCTGGAAATAATGCCACTGAAGCAACTTATAAAGTAGTTTATATACTCAGGACAAAAGGGAAGCCATTCAGTGATGTAGAAATTGTTAAAGAATAAATTGTCAAAGTTGTAGGATGCTTAGACCCTGATAAGGTTTCAAAGTACAAACAACTGCCTCTTTCAAGGAGAATCATAACTGATCATCATCACGAATAAGCCTACAACTTAACAGAGAAACTTCATGTAATACTTCAAAAGGAAAATACATATTATTCAATAGCTTTGGAAGAATCAACTGATACTACTGACTGAGCATAGGTTTTATACTTCATTGGTGTTGTAACAGAAGCTTTTCTTTGCTATGAAATTACTTATTGACATGGGAAAAAGTCTTTAAAACAAAACAACAACAACAAAAAAGAGTTATTCACTTTGGGCACTCTTGTGAGCAGAACACAGGGAATAGTTATCTTCAACAATTTTCAAGATAAATGTTGTGAGGTTGGACTGAATTTGGTAAATTTAGTGAGTGTGTGTACAGATGGTGCACCTTCCATGACAGGAAAACATGAAGAGTTTATTATACAGATAAAACAAGTATTAACAGATCCAGATGCTATCATTTCTTTTCATTGTACCTTGTGTCAGCAAAATCTCTGTGCTAAAGGAGAGATTTAAAAAATCTAAGCATTTCAAAACAAGCTTTTTTCAAAACAATTCTTCTTCAAAAGGAAATTTCAGATGAACATTTTCCCCAGTTAGCAAAGGTTATTGATGAGGATGATATATGGAAATCATCTGAAGAATATGCAGCTGTTATAGACTTAATTGGAGAATACAATGAAAGGTTCACTGACTTTGAGAGTCATGACATCACACTCAAATTAGCATTTCAGCATCATGTAGTTAATATCATCAAGGCACCTAAAGAACTACAGATGGAATTGATTGAGCTCTCAGCAGATGACATTTTAAAGTCATTATTTGATGCTAAGAAAGATCCAATTGAAATGTGGGAAAATGCAGAATGCCCAAGCCTTCATCAACATGCCCCCCAAAATGCTTTCTTGCTTTTCAATCACTTATTGCTGGGAATCTATATTCTCCTATCTAACCCATATCAAGACACTCTTCAGGTCACAGATGACTGATACCCATCTAGCGAATCACCTGAAACTTTGGACTTCCATGCTGCAACCAAATATTTAAATACTTTCCAACAAAAAGCAGACAACAAAGTCATTAAAAGGTTAACTTTAAAATTAACAAAGTTATCATTTTTTGAAACTATTAAATACATAGTAGTTAGGTTTTAACAAAATAATTTACATCTTTCAGTGTATCTAATTGAAGCTTCTTGAATGCAGCCTTATTTGATTACAGCTAAATTAATGTGGCTTTTGCACATGAAACGGTTCTCTTCCCTTTCCCTAGTAAACCCAGGGATTCTCAGTCTCTCTTTCAGAAATGAGCAAAGAATTTTTAGGCCCTACTCAATACAACCACCCTATGGCAGTAGGCATTTTATTACTATTAACGGATAAACATCCTTATGGTTCAAAAACATATATAATAAATTCTACCTCCTTGCTAGGGTTTAATTACCATCCCCATGTCATGGGAGGAGAAACTGAGGCTCAAAATGGTAAACCAACATACTTGGGCACAAATAAGTAGTAGCAGAACTGGGCCTGATTCTGCCCTACAGAAATGTTACCGTCTGATAATCAAACCTTTCTGTTTCTAAACAAAATTTCGAGTGCCTGTGAGTGGGGGGCTCAGTCTGCTACTCCCACCCTTCGGCTTCACGCGGAGACCAGATGTTTGCGCTTCTCAGTACCTATACAAAGCCAGCTTTCTCATGCAGGCTGAGGGCTGGGCACCAAGAAGAAACCCAACAAAAGACCCTCCAGGCCCGGTAGCCGCGGAAGCTTGGCGGTAGGCCCGGAACTGTGGCAAGGGTACCATGTTACCGCCGCGCCTCGGAGGCAGCACCTGCTCCTGTGACCCTAGGCTCGAGCGCGTCCCTCCCAAGGGCAGGTGGCGGGCCTCCTGTTCCCCTCCAGAAGGAAACAGCTCAGGCCCCGAAGCCACGAAATCCCGTCGCTCGCTGGAGGCGCGGGCCAAGCCCCGCCCCCGAGCCGCCTCTTCCGCTCGCGCCGGGGTGGGGTCTACGCGGCCGCCGGGATCCGCTCGGACGCGGCCACGTTGTCTTGCGCGCTTGTTGCGCCTGATCGTGTGAGCCTGAGCGCGGCGCCCCGCTCCCGGCCCCCTGGCGTGGTCGCGCGGCTTGGTGAGGCGGCGGTGTTCCCGCGCTCACTCCGCGGGGTGCGGTGGCGCGGGGAGCGGCCCGGCCACTCCGAGGCTGCCGCGCGCGGTCGCGTCTGGGATCCGGGCCTGAGAGGCGCCGCCCTCCGTGCGCCCGCTCGCCTCCTCCCCCTGCCGCCCCGGAGCCGCGAACGGGAAAGAGCACGGGAGAGTTGGGCTCCGCGTAGAGCTCGGCTCCGGGGCCCATGCCCTGCGCGCCCGCAGGCCCGCGCCATGGCCTCCGGAAGCGTGGCCGAGTGCCTGCAGCAGGAGACCACCTGCCCTGTGTGCCTGCAGTACTTCGCCGAGCCCATGATGCTCGACTGCGGCCACAACATCTGTTGCGCGTGCCTCGCCCGCTGCTGGGGCGCGGCGGAGACTAACGTGTCGTGCCCGCAGTGCCGGGAGACCTTCCCGCAGCGGCACATGCGGCCCAACCGGCATCTGGCCAACGTGACCCAGCTGGTGAAGCAGCTGCGCACCGAGCGGCCGTCGGGGCCCGGCGGCGAGATGGGCGTGTGCGAGAAGCACCGCGAGCCTCTGAAGCTGTACTGCGAGGAGGACCAGATGCCCATCTGCGTGGTGTGCGACCGCTCCCGCGAGCACCGCGGCCACAGCGTGCTGCCGCTCGAGGAGGCGGTGGAGGGCTTCAAGGTGAGGGCGCCGAGCGGGCAGGGGTGGGAGCGGGAGTCGGACAAAGGAAGGAGGGAGCCAAAGGGGGCTTCCCTTTTTCCGCCTAGAAAATGGCTGAGCCGGACGTTTGGTTCACAGCCGTCATTTCCTCTCTGTCCTCTCCAGAGCCTCCGCATTCAGATTTGGGAGGAAAACCTGTAGCTGGTGAGGAAGCCAGAAGTCTCCCCACCCCCACCCTCCTCTCTCTGTTTGCCCCTGTTTCCCGGCTCACGAACACACTGTACATAAAGACGGCCCTTGGAGAACCTCTTTTTGACGGTGTAAAAGAAGTGTGGAAAACCATGTACAACAACAAGCTTCAGAGACTCATACTCCCCTCTGCTCCCAAACAAGCTCAGTCAAAACACATTCGGATGTTAACTGACTGTATACACATCAAGCAGATGCTCATCAGTTTGTAAGCATTTCCACAGCACTTTCCTTAATCCTGTTCTAAAAGCTCACAGAAAAGGACAGAGCGCTTTACTGCTTAAGTCATTTAGCCATTCTGAGAATCAGGAGATAAGTTATGAAGATTAAGTGAAATCATATGATGTACTGAGCCCTTTGTGAACTATTGAACAGTTTGGCCAACTAAACAATAACGTGGAAACAAAGTATTGCATATACAACAGTTTTAAGGCAACATTCAAGGAGTCTAGGATGCTGTGTATTTCTGTATATTTGAGGGCTGCAGGAATACACACAATTATGTCCCTGTTTAAATGTGAGTGCATTCATGCATAATTAATCACTGAACACTTATGGAGCTTTGAACTATATCATTTTACTCACTCTGGTGATAACTCTGGAGTAGGTTGGGAAGGTGGGCTTCACCGATACCACACAGTGTGTCAGTATTCCTCTGTGGAAGAACTACAACATTATGCTTCCTAGTCCAGTCACCTTCCATTAAGCCATGCAGTATCCTAGGGACAGGTAGATGATTCACTGTTTTAAAAAAAACACATAAATTGCCAAAGGGTAGGGGTGGTGGCCATGTGCTCTGGGCCTTTCTCCTGTGGGTGGCAGTGTGGTCTAAGGACAGGCTCTGACCAAGGACTTGGTATTAGGAGTGTGTGTGTTCCATGTATGCTAAGCAGAATAGCCATGCTGATGCTGAGGTCTGCCTAATCTTGAACTGCCCATCTGTTTTTCTTCTTCCAGGAACAAATCCAGAACCAGCTGGACCATCTAAAAAGAGTGAAAGACTTAAAGAAGAGACGTCGGGCACAGGGGGAGCAGGCACGAGCTGAACTCTTGGTAAGGGTTGTTGGAATACAGTTAATATTGTGCCTGCTGGTCACTCTCTCTTTTCTCTGGGGCTGATGTGGTTTCCCTTAACCATGTCCAGCTAGATCACCTAGAACTTCTAGGTATAGGTGGAATGAGCCCATGTGGCACTCAGTAGGAGCTCACCTGAAGAACCAAGGGATTCCCCCACTTTTAGGGAAAGGATGGGGGAGCCAAGTTTGGAACCTCTGGAAATTAGACTTATCAGTAAAATTTAACCTGCTAGCTTTGTACAGACTCGAGTTGATCCTTGATAAAGCTGAGATAGGAAAAATTTTGGGGTACAGTTAGCTGCCTTTTTGGTACCATCCTGCAGATGGGTGCCGATAGTAGATTTGCCTAAGACCCACTGCTGCTTCTCCCTTGAGTGTTTCTTTTTCTTGACGGTGCCTTAATGCTGAATTTTTCACTCTGCTGTCTTCCCCTAGGCTCACAAGGCCTTGGCAAGTAGCTGATGTGCTAATGTGATAGGGATATCTGGGAATTTGTTTTGGGAAAAAACCCAAAGAAACCAAAAACCCCAAAGCCAAAAAGTACAGAAACTTTTATAATATACACTTGCATATCTACCAACTAGGTTTTAAACTGGTTTTGAACAATAAATAAATCCCCACTCATTAGCAGTATTTACATCTGAAATGCAACCTCCTGACTAGTTGTGTCTAGCATCCTCTTGTGAGAAATTTTGTCAGTCCTGGCAGAGTGTTATAAAGAACTACAGGGAACTTATTTCCATGGTGTCCTTAGATCCCACCACTTTCTCTGCCCAGCCAATCTGTTGAAACCTCAGCCCTCCTTGCTTGAAAATAGGTCTGATGGGTGGAGAATCTTCTCCATGAGCCTGAGTAGACTCAAATCATTATGCATACAATGGTGTTCTCTGTGGGAGGGTTATCAAAACGGAGAAACCCCTTCTCTGAGAATCAGGGTACCTGGACATGCTTCCAGGCTCTGATACTACCCATAATTGTATAGATGGAGAAGGTCACACAACCTCTCTGGGCCTTAGTTTCTTCATCTGTGAAATGGGTAGGTTGGACTAGACTTGTGGTTTTCGAGCAAGGCTAGTACTGCCCTTTTCTTTATAATGGTGTGTGGGTGTTTCTTCCGCTGTCAACTGGAAGAATCAAGTGGTTGGGGAGGAGGGATGCTAAATGTCTTACAATGCAAGAAACTGTCCCATGTCAAGCAGAAGACTGGAAATAAGTGAGTGAACATGGTGCTTGTTTCAGTATCCTAGGATGAAATGATGAGGTCTTGGGGGTGGGTAGTCAGGGAAGATATGTGAAGGACACTAGAAATGATACTTTTCTCTTTCTTAACTGTTCTTCCCTGTCATCTGTATAGAGCCTGACTCAGATGGAGAGGGAGAAGATAGTTTGGGAGTTTGAGCAGCTGTATCACTCCTTGAAGGAGCATGAGTATCGTCTCCTGGCCCGCCTCGAGGAGCTAGACTTGGCCATCTACAACAGCATCAACGGTGCCATCACCCAGTTCTCCTGTAACATCTCCCACCTCAGCAGCCTGATCGCCCAGCTGGAAGAGAAGCAGCAGCAGCCTACCAGGGAGCTTCTGCAGGTAAGGCTTGGAGAACTCTGCTAAGGTAGCTCCCACTAAAAGTAGTCTTCTCCTTTTTGCCAAGTAGTATCCAGGACCTCCTGTCTTCTTGCTAACTATGCAGGAGTGGTAAGGGCTTGCCAAACTCTGTGTTGGGGATGTTGGAAGGAAAATGTACATTAGAACTTCTTGTTGACACAGCTTGGATCAGTCAGTTGCTTTGTTTCATGGAAAGGGCAAAGAGAAGACCTGATGCCCAAGCTTGCCGTGCAGTGACAAGTGATCTGATCACAGGCGATCCTTTTGATCTCTGTGGGCCTCAGTGACCTCATTTGCTCATGAAATGAGGGGCTAGACCACATGTCATTCAAAGACCCTCCTCATTCCAGTGTCCTGTAACTTTAACATATACATATGCTTTTGGACAGCCAGAAAACAGTAAGCACTTGAGCAGGAGTGGTTACTCTGAGTAGTCCGGTGATTTAACCTTGGTAGTGGAGGTGATAAAGCTGCAGCAGACCTAACCCAGCAGAACCACAGAAAATGAGCTAATGCTTGTCTGTCATTTGTTCTTTCAGCACATATTAGTTGTTTGCTTTAGGTCATGCATTATTAAGTACTAAATAATAAGCTTTTCTGAATTGTATTCTAATGTGAAGCTTAGACAATTAGTGAACAGTTATCACAGGTGTTAGTAAATGCCATTAAAAAGGAATAATGGGGCTGAACATGGTAGCTCAAGCCTGTAATCCTATCATTCTAGGAGGCTGAGGAGTGCGGATTGTTTGAGCTCAGGAGTTCGAGACCAGCCTTAGCAAGAGCGAGATCCGTCTCTACTAAAAATAGAAAGAAATTAGCTGGACAACTTTAAAAAATATATATATCTATATATATATATAAAATTAGCCATGCCTGTAGTCTCAGCTACTCAGGAGGCTGAGGCAGGAGGATCACTTGAGCCCAGGAGTTTGAGGTTGCTGTGAGCTATGCTGACGCCACGGCATTCTACCCTGGGCAACAGAGTGAGGCTCTGTCTCAAAAAAAAAAAAAAAAAAAAGGACTATGGGATATAGCAAGGGTCAGCAAATTATGGCCCATCACCTGTTTTTGTATGTCGTGGGAGCAAAGTATGAGTTTTACATTTTTAAATAGTTAGAAGAAATTAGAAGAATGTATTACATGAAATACATGAAATTCAAATTTACATGAAATTTGTTGGATTTATGTTATATGAGATTTAAATTTAGTGTTCCTACATTTTTATTGGAACACAACCATGCTTATTCATTTATGTGTTATCTCTCACTGCTTTTCTGCTACAGCAGCAGTATTGAGCATTGTTGACAAAGACTGTATGGCTTACAAAGCCTAAAATATTTATTGTCTGGCCTTTTAAGAGAAAATTTACTGATCCCTGCTTTAGAATAATAAGAGAACACAGTTTGAGCCTTAATATACATTGGTATTTGCTTGCCAGGGAGGCAGAATGTTTTAGAAGGGAGAGTGGACAACAGAATAATGCAGCTGAGGTCAAATAATATCAGAGCTGATATCCATTTGGTTTAACAACATGACCATCTTTGCTATCCTTATGTAGAACTGCCACGATGGAATAATTTAGGAAGGAGCCATGTCAGGGGGAATTGAGTGGTGACTGGGTGGGGTGAATGGAGACTGCAAGAGTGGATGATTCTTTCAAGAAGTATGAGTATGAGGGGATCTAAGAAAATACTTACAGGTGAGGTAGGATCGTGGAACTATATCTGGAGATGATGCTAACAAAAGTAGTTAAAACATATTTTCAAAATATGCATAGGAAAGAGAGTCTATATTATGAGGTTTCCAGGTGAAGGAAGACATTGAACTTGCAAGAAATGATGGATTAATACGCAGTGTGCTGTTCCTGATAAGGCAGGGGGAATGGGGACTAATGCACATGTACAGCAGTTAGCTTCAAAGGGTCGTCTGTTGTATGGGAAGAAAGTATTGTTTTTAGAATATGAGAGAGACAGTTGGTTTGTGAGACAGAGTAGGATTATTTGGTCAGTTAACATACATTTATAGTGGGACCATTCTGCCCTGTTGTGTGATTTTGTCTGCTTTGCTTTCTTAGAATTTGGCTGCTGTGGTGCAGTCACTGAGAAAGAGATAGTTGGGCTTATCCAGGGGTTGAGGTTTTGCCAGATGAACTTGAAGGTTTTTTGTTTGTTTTTTTGTGTAAAATATACATAATATAAATTTCAGCATTTCAAAGTGTATAAGTCAGTGACACAAATGTATTCAGTAAATACACAATTATCAACTGTGTGCAATTATCAACCACTATCAAAATCCAGAACACTTTCTTTACCCCAAAAGGAAACCCCACATTATTAAGCAATCACTTCTCATTCCTTTCTTTCCCCAACCCCTGGCTCTATGGATTCATCTACTCTAGATATTTGATATAAATGAAATCATATAGTATGTGGCCTTTTTCTTGTACATAGCATAATTTTTTCAAGGTTCATCTATACCATATCATGTTTCAGTACTTCATTTCTTTTTACTGCTGAATAATATTCCATTGTATGGCTATGTACTACATTTTGTTTATTCATTAGTTGGCAGACAGTTGGGTTACTCTCACCTTTTGTCTATTGTGACTAGTGATGTTGTCAATGTTAAAAATATAAAATGATTCACAAATTTTTGTGTCGTACATGTGCTGGGGCCATCTAATCTTCTCTGTGTGGTTCCAATTTGAATATAACTGCTGCTTAAGCATCATTCTTAAGATTTTAACCCTTTGCACTCGCTTGCTTTATTCTGTTTGGGATTTAATTTTTTAAATACCCCAGATTTTACAAAGTGCGGCAGTAGAATAAAAAACTGGAGTTTCTTTTCATACAAACTTATTTATTTGGATTTTTTTATATTTCAAATTATTGACACATTCAAAGAGTAATTTTAATCTCTATACTTTTTGCTAACTGTGTCGAGTCACACGACAATCCGAGTGCAAAGGGTTAAAACTTTTTTAAAGGTAGAAGGTATTTGTGAGAATATATTTGAATAGATGGATCATAAAACTGGAGTTGGATTATGAGGAAAGGGGAGAAAGAAAGAGGGATCGAGGACCCAAGGAGGGAAGAGGGTCTCTATGATTATCAAAAAGTACTTACAGTGGAAGTCATCAGAAAAGCAAGCTGAATCTTATGGCAGAATATTAGAGGCAGTCCCATTGAGGTCAGGAACAAGGCAAGGTGACTACTGTTGTCTCCCTCTATTAAACTTTGTACTAGCGGTTTTAACCAGTTCAGTTAGATAAGAGAAAAGAATTAGAGGCATAAAAATTGGAAAAGAAGTTAACATAAAGAAATCAGCCTTTATGTGCCAGGTGACAGCCACTAGAAGACATGGTAAAAGAAAACACTTCATTTCCAATTGCAAAAGAAAAAAAGAAGGTACAGTACCTGGAAATAAACTTATAAGAAATATACAGAAACCTATGTGGAGAAACATTTATTATGATTTTCAAACACTTTCTGAAAGACATCAAATAAATTTGAACAAATAAAAAATGCCACTTATTTGATGACATCTCAGCAAATTGTCAGTCCTTCAAATTCATAAATTAACACAATTTCAATAAAAACACCAATAAGCTTTTTTTCTGGATTTAGACAGATAGTAAACTTCAGATAAGAAAAATAAGCACATACAAATAGCTGGGATACACTGAGAAAGAAGAGCTCTGAGAAAGAACTGGCTCTACTAGATATTAAAACATACTACAAACCTATATAGTTAAAACAGTTGGTATTAGCACAAAGAAAAGAAAACATGCACATATTGTGACCAGTCAAAAGATGATGTTAGGCCTGGTGAGGTGGGTCATGCCTATGATCCTAGCACTGTGGGAGGCTGAGGTGAGTGGATTGCTTAAACTCAGGAGTTTGAAACTAGCCGGAGCATGAGTGAGACCCCGTCTCTACTAAAAATTTAAAAAGTTAGCCAGGCATGGTGGCAAACACCTGTAGTCCTAGCTACCCTGGAGGCTGAGGCAGGAGGATCACTTGAGCCCAGGAGTTAGAGGTTGCAGTGAGCTATGATGACGCCACTGCAGTCTAGCTGGGGTAACAAGAGCAATACTCTGTCTCAAAAAGGAAAAAAAAAAAACGATGTTAAATTGAAGGAAAATATTTGCAACAAATATCACAAGTAGAAATATTAATAATAGCTCTAATATATAAAGAACTTTTTAAAATTGAGAGAGAAAATATCAAAATTCTGTAGGAAAATGGGTAAGACACAAGCACATTGCTAAAGACATAGGAAATTTGTTAACATCTAAAAAAATGTTCAGTTGTACTTAGAATAAGAGAATTAAATTATCACATGTACTCTGAAAATGTGTTTATCTATTATATATCAATAAAAAATAAAATAGAATCCAAGCCAGGAGTGGTGGCTCACACCTGTAATCCTAGCAGTTTGGGACGCTGAGGCAGGAAGATGGCTTGAGGCCAGGAGTTCAGCCCAGCCTGAGCAAGAGTCAGACCCTGTCTCTACAAAAAATACAAAAATTAACTGGGCATGGTGGTATGAGCCTGTAGTCCCAGCTGCTCAGAAGGCTAAGGCAGGAGAATCACTTGTAGTGAGCTATGATGGCACCACTGCACTCCAGCCAGCCTGGGTGCCTGTCTCTTAAAATACGTATACATAAGGTTATTTGCTGCAACATTTTTGTAATTGCACAATATTGGAAGTAGTGTAACTTCTAAACCTGGAAGATTATTTTAGTTAATTGTGCATGTATACACAATGATACATATGGAATATTAATACTGTGCAACTGTAAAGAAAAAAAAAAGATACCAGTGAACTGATATGGAGTGGTTCCCAGTATACATTGCCATGTGAGAAGATCAAATTGTAAATTACAGAGTATGCTACTTTTTGTGTAAGAAAAAAAGGGGAATTGGAAAGTATATGTATTGGTTTATTTTTACAAAGGAAACTGGAAGGACAAACCAGAAAACAGTGGGGCTGGGGAGAATGAGTTAGGAGGGAATAGTTGAGGGAGTGACATGAACTCTCTGGCCAACTCAGGCTTTTTGAGCACCAAAATAAATAAGAACAGTAATGAATTATAACCCATTGAATAAGAATCTGTAAGTCCATACTAATAATAAATGAAGGAAAATTTTTCCTTCCATTAGAATGTCAACTAAGTAATGTAGAAGGAATTTTGAAGTTAGAAAATGGCCATTTGGCAGTCATCATAGTAAAAATTTATACAAAAATTATCAATCGATGCTCCATCTAAGGGGGGAAGTTTGATGAGGCCTGGAAGTATCACTTAGAGATTACATATTACAAATAGGAAAATAGTACAGTGATCAGAATTAGTATCACAAATAAGGGGATATCATGTACCTTTAGAAGGAACAACATTTACTAGTCAAAGATGGTACAACCTGAATTTAATCATGAGGGAAGTCTCTGACAAACCCAAATGGAGGGACATTCAATAAAGTAAATGGCTGGTATTAAACACTGTTAATGCCATGAAAGACAAATCAGTGCTGGGGAACTGTTCCAGTTAAAAACACATGCCATCATAACTAAACGCAGTGAATGATTCTGGGTTACCTGAGGGGAGCAGGGTGGGAAAGCTGTAAAGAACATCATTAAGGGCCGGGCGCGGTGGCTCACGCCTGTAATCCTAGCTCTCTGGGAGGCCGAGGCGGGCGGATTGCTCGAGGTCGGGAGTTCAAAACCAGCCTGAGCAAGAGCGAGACCCCGTCTCTACTATAAATAGAAAGAAACTAATTGGCCAACTAATATATATAGAAAAAAATTAGCCGGGCATGGTGGCGCATGCCTGTAGTCCCAGCTACTCGGGAGGCTGAGACAGAAGGATCGCTTGAGCCCAGGAGTCTGAGGTTGCTGTGAGCTAGGCTGACGCCACGGCACTCACTCTAGCCTAGGCAACAAAGTGAGACTCTGTCTCAAAAAAAAAAAAAGAAAAAAAAAAAAAGAACATCATTAAGGTAGTTGATTAAATCAGAATATGAACTGTGGGTTAGATAAACATATCAGTGTTCAATTTCCTAAGAAAATGTAGTCATTCTTGGGATTGACAAATGGAAGTATAAAGAGATACAATCTAAACAATGACTTCTTAAAAGGGTTTGAAGATAAATATGTCATAAATATATATGAAAGAAGAGGGAGATAAAATGATAAGTGAACAATTAAAAGTTGGTAAATCTGGGAAAAGAATATATAGGAGTTATTGGTAGTAGCAGCTTTTCTGTGTAGTTGATATTATCTTACAATAAAAAGCAAGCTGGACAGGTGGGCAGTTGAGGTCCAGGGGTAATGTGCTTGAATTAGTAAATTTGATATCATGAGGTCCTTGATCAGTAGATAGTGAGTCCAGAAGGAGGGCATAGGAGATGCTAGTATAGCAAATAGTGTGTACCCCAGTTTCCTCTGCCTGATTCCTACCCCTTATAAGGCTGTGAGTTATGTTCAGTGAGCCTTCTCTCCCTGGTTTCTCCTAGGAGAACCAGCCCATAGTGGGGTTTTCAACAAATATCTATGAAAGAAAACTGAAGTTATGAATGACTCCTTATGGTTATCTTATTCCTTTCTCTTACAGGACATCGGGGACACATTGAGCAGGTACATTTTTTTTCTCCCAAGTATTAAATCAAGCATGGAAAGACTGTCTCCCTCACATTTGTAAATCCTGAAAGCAGCCCAGAGCCTGAGATTGACAAAGTGTGGATTTGGGGGGCATGGGTTTCACTTGGGAGGGTGCTGGTGGATTTAGAGATATGGGGTGGGTGGGGGCCCTTACAGGGACTTAGGCAGAGTATAAGGGTAGCTTATGGCTGTAGTTTCCTAAGTATTTCAGAATCCTTTCCCTTTTGTTAGCTATCTCTCTCTTTTTTTCTATAATAGGGGAAATAAGGCCTAAGGAAAGTATGACTGGCCTAGAATTATTTAATTACTTGTGAGCCACATGGATCCTGGCTCTTATTTTAGTTATTTTCCCACCATTAAACAACAGGTGAGGAAGAGCTCCCTGGGAGTTGGGACATGACCAAAGAGGGAGAGCTTGAAGGGGCCGATAAGCCAGGGTAAAGTTGTATTTGCAGGATGCATGGTGAGGCAAATGGGATAGGCCTTGGGAAAATGATGTTTGGTACAAGAGTGCCTTCAGGGGTGGAGACTGACTTTGAGGGAGCTGGACTTTGAAGTTGATTAAAATCCTGAGGGATGAAAACCCTCCAAGGAAAATGCAGCTCGACTATGTGGGAGCATTTGGGGAGATGGAGGAGGGCCTCGTAGATGGGGTAGGTTGGCTGGGAGGTCTCTATGTATAGAGAATCATGTTGATAGAATTGAGGTTCTTGAGGGCTCCCGCGATGGAGATAAAGTTGGAGCTCGTACCAGTCCCAGCCAGATGACCCAAGCAAATACTACCTTTACATGCTACTTTTTGATGCCAGTCTAGTTCTGACCTAACATGTGGAGGTGGATCCCTCATACTCTAGCCATTTCTGACATTAAGGATTGGTTTGGCTGTATGAGATAGGAAACCCAAAATTTCATTGGCTTAAGGTTTAAACATAAAAATTTTTTTTCTCACCATATAAGAAATGTACAGGTAGGTAGTATCCTGGGGTGGGCATGGTAGTTCCAGAGACTCTCAGAGACTAGGGTTTCTTCTCATTACTATTCTCCTGTCCCCAAGGTAATGGTCCTGATATAGTCCAGTCCATAGCTAGTAGAAAGCCAGCCAAAAGGAAGGAGATAAGTTGCATCACATTCCTTTTTAAGCAGACTTCTCAAAATAACCACGAGATATTTCCCACTTCTCAGTGGCCTGAACTGAGGCCACTGAGGTCATGCCACAAGGTCAGCCACAAGGTCATATGCAGCTGCAAGGAATGCTGGGCAGCTGTGAGCCACAAAAGGTGGAAGATGGGAGAAAGGCTACTGGGTAGGCAAATAGTGGTCTTTGCCATAGACTCCCATGCAGAGGTGGGGAAATTTGATATTGTCCTTCAGAGTGCCTGTCTGTCTGAAGATGTCATTCCCTCCATATTGGGGAATCTGAGAATTCTGGATAGTTGCCTACCATGAATATCAAGGGACTGCCATGGAATATAGCGTTTTCTGGCAAGGTCAGCCTCGTAGTCAATTAAATTCAATAAATCTTTTTGAATACTTGCTGTTTGAAAAGCCATGAACAAGATACTTTGGGAGATAAAGGTATGAGTAAGATGTCTCTCTTATTCTGGTCTAGAAAATCATAGCTGAGGAGGAGAAGATGGGAACAGCTATGGTGGCTGGTTTTAAAGGCTGTACACCTGTCTTGGACAGTTGAGCCTAGATCTTGTCCTGAGCCCTGGAAGGTTATGGAATTAGGGAGTCAATTTAAAAAACTCTTTTTTTTTTTTTTTTTTTAATTTAGGGCGGAAAGAATCAGGATCCCTGAACCCTGGATCACGCCTCCAGATCTGCAAGAGAAAATCCATATTTTTGCCCAAAAGTGTCTGTTCTTAACGGAGAGTCTGAAGCAGTTCACAGGTAATGCGAGGAGGAGTGTCATAAGGGGAAATGGATTTATACTCTGAATATCTGTGTATTGTCTGAAAGGATATATTTTCCAGTCAGATAGTGGGATGCAAACTGAATATCTTCTCCTTTTCTCTTCTTAGAAAAAATGCAGTCAGATATGGAGAAAATCCAAGGTAAATTTATCTACCTACTGGGCTTTTGATGTTGAAGTTTCTTGAGAAGAAGAGCATGTGCATTAAAAGGGTGGGAAAATGGGACAAGGGTGATACCTACTGGCCACCCTCCCTGATATTTTATGTCTTCCTTTTAGTCTTATTAACTTTTTTAATTAATAGCCTCTTGTTCTAATTTGAAGTCTGTTAACCATATTCAGTCTGTTCTCCATCTACATCAGTGAAGAAGAAAAATAGGCAATCTGAAAATTAATTAATCCAGAATTAATTTGATTATTTTTAATTGGGAAAGAGAATGAACAAAAACTATCCTCGTTTTCAGTTGAGCCCATTTTTTAAATTAATTTACTGAGTTCCTGCTTGTGGGCACAGGTGCCAACCAGGACAGGAGGAATTGAGCAGCATTGCCAGGGAAGTGGTTAGTAATAGTTCTTACCTCATAAGGTTATAAGGGTTAAGATTTGTTACCATTTCTAATGCCTTTAGAATGAAACCTGACACATAATAAGTCCTATATTTATGTTTAAATATAGGAGAAGCTTTTCCAAGTCTAACATGTCCTGCTCCTAAGCCACATTCAGTTTGGAGTTGGCTATATATTGAATACTAAGTTCCTAGGCAGGTAATCTGATAGAGTCTGAAATGCTTAAATGTAGGTAAATCCTTTTACTATTTATTACAAATGACCCCCATGATCTTTGATAATTTTCTGTATTACATATGCTGAATCCTTATTTGTATTGCATCTTCTCAGAAATGTACTTTTTTGGCATCCAGCAACATAGATTTAGGGAACACTCACATGTCCTCCACAAGCAAGACCAATAGGGAGAAACTACACTCAATGTGGTGGATAATACCGGAAGCGATTAGTTCAGGTGTGATTTTCCTTGATCTGGCTCTCATTTACTTCTGCCCTTCTTGCCACTTCTCAGTGAAATCTTATGTGAATATGCTTTGTCAGCTATGAAGTGCCTCGTAAGTCTTCTTTGCCCCAGAGTGTCAGTGGTTGTCCCTTGAGCCACCCAACTCCTAAAACAGAGATGACTTATCATAGCTAAGAGTGGTGTACGACGTGGGCTTGGAACCGGGTTTCCCTCTGCAGAGCCAGCTGGCTTGCTGGAAGGTGTAATCCTTGATCTTCCCTTGTTTCAGTTTGACCCCATGTTCTATCAGTCTCAGGTTTGTGGTTATCCTCTACTCGATATTCCCAGTCTCTCTTCCCTCAAAGCTCTTGGCTGGTTGATAGAGTCATCAACATTGTATGAAGAAATCAGTGCATGGCTGTTAACAGTGGTTCTTGGAGTTTCTAGCGAAAACCATTGCTTTATGATGACTAATCAAAGTTACCTCAGTTATGTTTTTCCTGGAAATACTCATGTGACTTCCATAATTTATTTTCTCTTTGTTATTTCAGAATTGAGAGAGGCTCAGTTATACTCAGGTAGGTGATGGGAGACAAGACCATACTGGGGTGAAGAGTAAAAATCCTTGTGAACCTGACTACTAACGTGAATGATACACTGCTCTCCTGCCCAGCCTCAGGGACAAACTGTGATTTGCGACAAGCAGGAGTAATGGAGCTCAACTCCTATTCTGAGTGCCAGAGAGAATCCAGGAGTCTTGTGTCATCCATTACTATGCCTCAAGGCAAAGCTTGAAACTCCTCCTTTCCTTGACAGCCACCCTCACCCTAAGATTTAGAGAGTTTGGGTAAATCTACAATGCCAGAGGTACTCAAATCTGAGGTGTGTACTTTCCATAGTCACACAGCCACCTTCTGTTATAAGGAATCCTCTTCTTACAGAGAAAAACTCTACATACAATAGGTCTTCATTCATCGGTGTCCGCTAACTGATCCATATTTAATTGTTTCAAAAAGTATGAACTGAGTACCTCACTTATATCCTACACTGTCTAATGTTGAGCAACGCACTTTAGAGGAAACAAAAGAGTATGAGACACTGTTCTACTGTTGCAGTTTGCATTGTTTGGTTGGAGGTATGAGGTGTACCCATGATGCAAGAAAGAGATAAGGCCTGATGCAGTGGCTCACGCCTATAATCCTAGCAGTCTGGGAAACGAAGGTGGGAGGATTGCTTGAGCTCAGGAGTTTGAGACCAGCCTGGGCAAGAGTGAGACCCTCTCTCTACTAAAAATAGAAAAATTATCTGGTGGTGTGGCACGCACCAAGTAGTCCCACCTACTTGGAAGGCTGAGGCAGGAGGATTGTTGGAGCCCAGTAGTTTGAGGTTGTAGTGAGCTGTCATGTCACCACTGCACTCTGCCGGGGTGATGGAGCAAGACTCTGTCTCATAGAAAAAAAAAAAAAAAGAAAGAAATAGGCAGCCATTGTGGACAGATTGTTGAACCAAGAACCAAGGGTTCTGGGGTTCTTGGTCACCTCCACCAGTTGCCTGTCTTGAACCTTTTATGGGAGTCATTTAGCCTCCTGAGCTTTGACTTCTTTTTTCTTTTCTTTCTTTTTTTTTTTTTTGAGACAGAGTCTCGCTTTGTTGCCCAGGCTAGAGTTAGAGAGCTTTGACTTCTGAGAGGTCATGTTTGACTTCCTTGTTGCTCCTGAACAAGATGTGAAGAGCAAATGAGAGCATACATACCAGTGCTTTTAAAACAGGAAAACACCATTTGCAAGATGCTGTAATACTAAATACCAGAGAAGATGACATAGGTGATACACAGTTTTTGATTTAAGAACAGGAAGGGTGTAATGGCGTGGGCTTTGAAAAACTTTGAGGAAGATGTGAGTCTTGCACTGGACATTAATGTGGAGTAAAGATCTTATATTAACAGAACGGATAAGAGTGATTCAAAAGGTGGGCAGATTTGTTCAGTTTCCCAGTCCCTTATCCACAATTCCAAAATCCTAAATCTCTTATTAGAGCCAAAAGCTATTTTATTATTTTATGGCAAATTAATAATGGTACCAAAGCCTGAATTTATGTGGGACTATAAATATAAAGTCCATATTTTACATGAGGTAAGCATTCATATGTCTCACAGTAGATCTATTAATATTTGATTATAAAGTGCTATACCAGAGCCTGCCTGTCTAAAATCTGTAATATTCTGAATTCTTTGAAACTTTTGGTCCCTGAAGCTTTCAGATTAAGGGATTGTGGACATGTAAGAAAACTTCAAATTTGACTTTATAATGGATATTGTGGCTTAAGATGTGAAAGAAAGGGAATGGGTAAGGTTTTAGTACTTTTCAACATATCTTGCCTAAAAAAGACAACCAGCTAATCGAAGCAGTAAGTTTGAATAGTGACCTTTAGGATGTATTTCATATAAAATGACTGCAACCTCTAGTGGGGAGCTCTTACTCACAGGGAGATAGGAGTAGGGCTAGATATTCTAGAGTTTGCTCTCAGGCTGACCCTCCCCTTTGTGTCTCTGCAGTGGATGTGACTCTGGACCCAGACACAGCCTACCCCAGCCTGATCCTCTCTGATAATCTGCGGCAAGTTCGGTACAGTTACCTCCAACAGGACCTGCCTGACAACCCTGAGCGGTTCAATCTGTTTCCCTGTGTCTTGGGCTCTCCATGCTTCATCGCTGGGAGACATTATTGGGAGGTAGAGGTGGGAGATAAAGCCAAGTGGACCATAGGTGTCTGCGAAGACTCAGTGTGCAGAAAAGGTGGAGTAACCTCAGCCCCCCAGAATGGATTCTGGGCAGTGTCATTGTGGTATGGGAAAGAATATTGGGCTCTTACCTCCCCGATGACTGCCCTCCCCCTGCGGACCCCTCTCCAGAGGGTGGGGATTTTCTTGGACTATGATGCTGGCGAGGTCTCCTTCTACAACGTGACAGAGAGGTGTCACACCTTTACTTTCTCTCATGCTACCTTCTGTGGGCCTGTCCGGCCCTACTTCAGTCTGAGTTACTCGGGGGGAAAGAGCGCAGCTCCGCTGATCATCTGTCCCATGAGTGGGATTGATGGGTTTTCTGGCCACGTTGGGAATCATGGTCATCCCATGGAGACCTCTCCTTGAGGAGGTGAACTCAGGCCACAAGAGCTATTGGCTATAATCCTATGCCAGGCACAAGACATCTTGTTGTCTTGCCACTTCCTGTCTATCACCGCTGGATATCCTTACCATGTTCCATGCCCTTGCAGTGGGAGACAGGACGTCTGTGTTCTCTACCATTTTTTTCCTTCCCACACACATTGTGAGATATAATGAGAAGTATCAGGATTTCCCTGGAATAAAAACCAAATGTCCACCTCCAGTATTTCACACTTTGTGATTTTACATGTTCCTGGAGTGGATACAGAGTATGGGTAATCTTTGGATTTGGAGAGCCATACAAGATACTTACACCTTCTTGGCTCAGCCGGATTCCTCTGGTTCCGCACCACATAGTGATTATGGGTAATTGCTGGCATTTCTGGACTAGGGCTCCTTTCTTCTAACCTAGAATGGAACTATACAAGGCCCGGTCAGTGCGGCTCCCTTTATCCCAGTTTTTCCTTCTGGGAACAGTACCTCTACCCCAATTCCTCCATCTGCTGTAATTTTATTAACTCCATTAAAGAGGCCTGTATGTGTTTTGATTAGTTACAGTTATTTTACAATAATTGTGGGAAATGGCCCAACTTCTGTTATGAGATAATGTTCTAATCAATGTCTCTTTGCCTTTGTATTTTTTCTGAGGGCTTTTTCTGCTCCCTTTATTCTAATGAAAAGTGTATCCCAGTGCAGGGTGCACATCATCCAGGATAATATTTTACCCAACTCCGTCCACAGTTTCCCAGTCACGTTTATGGACTGGTGGTCAGTCATATGCCATCCATGGAAGAATTCTGGCACAGTATTCCAAGGATTCATTGACTTCTTGCCTCCTTTTCTCCATCTCCTTTGGAGAACAGGGAATCGACCTTACTAATATGTATATCGTCAAGGGGCAGCTCCATCCCCATGGCCATTGAAGCATAAGGCATTCTGGAGTCAGAAGGCTAGGACAGATCACTTTGAGCCAGCCCCCCTGATGGTTCTTAGTCCTGCTTCTCTGTGGGTACATGCCCCTCTGTTTAAAAATAAAGTGAATATGGATGTTTACATTGTTGTTGTTTTCCGGGTCTTGGTAGGATTGGGTTCATAGATGTTGGAAGGGAGGGGGGAGGAAATGCTTAATGGTTTTGATTTCCCACATGGGTCCAGAATCCCATGATAAAAACTACTTGCTCAGTACCATATCACTACTTTCTAATGGTCCTGAAAAAGAAGTTTTGGACATCATAGCCTATAGCTCTTGTATTGGTTAATTCTGTAATTTTGTTAGGAAAGTGTTTGCTCAAGTCCTTTTTTTGTAATTGGAAATGGAAAAATGCAGTAATACTTGGCATAGATCAGAAGACCCAAAACTTGCTTCCTAGCCCAGAACCACCAGCCCAAGCCCTTGGGGGCATGGAGTTACCACGTGCTGAGGAAGAAAGATCAGGCTGAGAGAATAGCTCTATTCCCAGGGATTTGGATTATTTTCCTTTCTGAACATGGCCTCAGAAGACAGCATAGTCTCCTGTACCAGGCGTTGGGGTTCCATGGCTGAAGATCATGAGTTGGTGATATTATGTCCTAATTCTTTATTCATCAGGTTTTAAGGGAAATAATGTAACCAGGGGCTATAGAAAGGGGCTTCCATGAGGCTAGGTTAGCTTTTGCTGAATACTCTGAGATACAAATGCATATGATAACTTATATACATGTATATAAATACTTTTAAAAGACATAAGCAGTGCTTTGCACATATTATGAAGAGCTTTATGCACAGTAACTTATTTAATGCTCATAACAACCTTATCAAGTATGTACTATTGCCCTTATTTTACAGATAAGGAAACTGAAGCAGAGAGAGGGTAAATGACTTATCCAAGGTGCACAGCTAGGAAGCAGCAAAACCAGGATTCAAACTGAGATGGAACACATGACCACATACATCAAATCTTGCCCCAAAATATATATAGATTATGCTTTTCTGCTTAAGAGGGGCAGAGCTGAGACTGGAAGCCTTGGAGTGCTAGTCCATTGCCCTGGGATGCCTGCCTTATAACACTGTCTACTCTAAACTTGAGGATCTGTAACTGGAAAATGGGGTGAAGAGTCCCATTCAAAATCATTACAATTTCATTTAATTTAGTCCATTGGGGAGGGAGGAAAAATAAAGGCCCACAAAGAGGACACTTTGTACCAGTCCAAAGAAACATGCCCTTGGGATGGACTCCTGGTTCTTGCTGCCTCAGTGATGGGGCTGTCTCCAGGCTAACTTAGAGGATCTCATACTGGGTCTACTTTATTCCCAGTAGACCTAGTGGAGCAGAATTTTATTGTGTTTTTATTAAAAGCAGCAGCTAGAGCAATGGTAACCAATCTTGTTGGATTCAACAAAGCTACTTCCAACTTGAATGGGGATGTATCTATAAGGGTGAATCTTACTATCAATGCTAAGTGAAAAGGCTTCAGAAGAATGAGCTGGGCATGGTGACTTGAGCCTGTAATCCTAGTTACTCAGGAGGCTGAGACCAGCCTGGGCAACATAGACCCTGTCTCTAAAAAAAAGTTTCACAAGACTATCTTATGATTACCTTTTTTGTAATAAGAACAGTGGGATCATGGTTACCTATGGGGTGTGTCGGAGGATGGGGTAGAGGAGGGTATAGGTTGATATGTGTTACTAGTTATCTTCTGGTATGGGTGGTGGGTTCATAGGTATTTATTTAAAATTCTAATTTAAAAGCCTGCCATTTTGAATGAGGTTAAATGAATTTGTAAAGGATTCTAAATTTACTCATCTGCAGAAAGGTAAGCAACCTTTGGGTTCATTGAATCAGCAATTGGGTCACTAAATAAGCAGATATGGGCCCAGTAGGATACTTTTGGCTCCTCTTTGTTTTTTTCCTCAGAACATCTGGAAGTTGTTAATTACATATTAGGGCTTCAACAACTCCTTCCTTAATTGTTTTGTTGCCCCAGGAAAATGTGTGGGTGTGTGTATGTCTGTGTGAGTCTGCATGCATGTGCACACATACATGTCTTCAGCTACTCTTGCTTTTTCTCATACGGGTGGACACGCAGAGAAGAGCATCTTCCCCAAAAGCAGACAAGGCCTACAAGAGACAGGTTCAGAGAATAAAGGGAAACTGAACATGACTCTTCTCTCTACTATGTACAATTAAGTGAGATGACAGAATTCAACACTATGAAAGTAAGCAAATAGCTGTCAGATGATAAAGGAGAGCCATTTGCTAATGCCTTCAGTTATCTGAGGTCCAGACCAAAGAGTATAGAGGGCAATCACACATCTCCTCCCAGCAAAATAAAAAAACTCAAAAGGTTCTTGGTGTACCAATGGTGGGTGAGTTGCCTCTTCACGAATGAAAGACATTCTTTGACTCAAATATACAACTAACCAGTGTTGGGTGCCTCAGCTGAACTTGACTCCAGAGAAGAATACAAGAGAACTTGGCTTCTCTCCTTGGAAAAGTTAAAGTCAATTAGGAAGGGGAAAAATAACATGAAAAAGAAGTGAAGCACAACTAAAGACGAGTTGGGGAAAAGTAAAACATTGTGTGCTGCAGGAGACTTCTGTGGACCACGGTAATCTGAGAGGAAGCCCAAGTGCAAGGTCTGTATTTTTTCTTTAGTGCCCTTTTTCTTTTTTTTGAGACAGAGTCTCACTTTGTTGCCCAGGCTAGAGTGAGTGCCATGGCGTCAGTCTAGCTCACAGCAACCTCAAACTCCTGGGCTCAAGCAATCCTTCTGCCTCAGCCTCCCGGGTAGGCTGGGACTACAGGCATACACCACCGTGCCTGGCTAATTTTTTCTATATATATGTATTTTTAGTTGGTCAATTAATTTCTTAGTAGAAATTTTTAGTAGAGACAGGGGTCTTGCTCTTGCTCAGGCTGGTTTTGAACTCCTGACCTTGAGCAATCCGCCCGCCTCGGCCTCCCAGAGTGCTAGGATGCCCTTTTCCTTGAGGTTGATAAGCTGGTGTCCACTAGCTCAGTCCTGCTTTGACTTAATTATGTAATTACTAATTCCTGCACCTTGTTTAACCAAGAAATTCCTCCTAGGAGGTTTCTGTGAGGAATAATGAGAAAGCCCAACCAAAGCAGAGTTGGTGGGGTGGTTGTAGGGAAATTGGCTTTGCTAGCGTGTTAATGAAGTAGCTTAGACATCAAAATGTGTAAACAATACTTGTACTTTACAACATTGCCCCAGTTACATTTCCATTTTCCCTGTTTAAGAGAAAATAAATTTCTCAGGTCTGACTTATTTGTTTACTTATTTTTGCATTGAAGTTGAAATGTAAGCAAGGCATTTGAAGGTAACCTTTTCAGATACACACGTCTCTTTACTAGATTCTTCATTCAGAGCACTTACAGAATTTGGATTTGTATGGAATACAATTTTGAAATCCAGTTTAGGGGTTGTGATACACAAGAATGTAACAGAAAAAAGTGAGAAGGTAATAATTTCTTTTAGTGTAGAAAGACTTCACATTTTCAACCTACGTATTTGAAAAATAAATTAACAGATGCTTTTGGTGAGACTAGGGGTGTTTTTTTGTTTGTTGTTTTAAGGGACAGGGTCTCGCTCTGTCACCCAGGCTGGAGTGCAGTGGAGTAATCATAGCTCACAGTAGCCTGAAACTCCTGGGCTCAAGCTATCCTCCTATCAGTCTCCTGAGTTGCTGGGATTACAGATTGAGCTACTGCCCCCAGCAGATTTTTTTTTTCTTTTTATATTGCACTGTTTACCATGGAAACCTTTAAGCATACACAAAAATAAAGAAGATATAACAGTGAAACCCCCATATCATCTCTCAACTTCAACAACTATCAATTTATGGTCAATCTGATTTCAAATATAGCCTTACCTAGTCTAAAGTAAATCCTGGACATGGTGTCAGAAAATCAGATGATTTTTATGGAGCCTCCAATAAAACAGTCAAGAGATTGATTTCAAGGTTGGAAATTAAATCCTGTTTTTTAAAATTGGCATAGACCACCACTGTGAGCTTGTTTCCTTTTTAGCACCCTCCTTACCCCACCCCTGCCTACCTTCTTTAAATAATTGGTCGGGCCTTTCAAAATTCCTCTTGTATTAAATAGAAGAGCTTTTCATAAAAATGTAGAATGACCTCTGGGGATTCTCTTTGCACCATAAATATTGTTAGTAAATAGTAAATATATTTACATATTTATTTATACCTCACCTTCTTCCAAAATGGACTTAAAGCTGTTTAACAGATAAAATCAAGGTAGCAGGAGTTTAATGTGCCATAAAGGAAGAAAGAATAAGGATGGAACAAAAAATGACCAGGAATAACATAATAAACATATAGCATGATATTAAAAGGATGTTAAATGTGGGCCACAGTTTTGTTTTAAAAATTGACACTGGAACTTTGTTAACTTTTATAGCTCATAGTTTCCATGAGATGGCAATAGAACACATGTTTAAGAAAGTTAATGGGATTCTTGTTATTAATAGTAAAAGGAATTTCTGCTTGGGTTCTTAGTAAATAGAAACTATATCATAAGAGCTTAGTTTTCATACAATGTTATAAATTAATAAGGAAAGATGAATATCAATAAAAAACTGATGAACAATTTACTGAGGAAGTATAAACATCCTTTAAACATGAATGTTGAACATCACTAATAAATCTGTAAAAAATGCCTTAACATTTTTCACCCATTAAAATGTTTTATTGTTTTTATTGTTGTTGTTTAATCCTGGTATCCTGTGTTGGTCAGGTTTCTGGTATCTAAATTACTTCACATCTTTTTAGCAGGCAGTTGGACGGTATATATTAAAAGCTTTTAAAATTGGATAAACTTTGATCTAATGATTCCACTTCTAGAAATTTAAGGAAATAATTATGGATGTTTGAAAATATTTGTCTACACAAAGATGGTCTTCATAGCATTGCTCATGAAAGTGAAAAATTACAAATACTCCAGTGTTCCAACAATACTGGTTTGAAATGGGCTATGTGCAGCCATTAAAATTTATGCAAAATAATATTTAACTTCAGTACTTGGAAAGTGCGA